GCCAAGGTTAAGTAATCTGTTGTTACTGCGTTAGAAGAGTTTAAATTTGGCAAATTTTCAAGATGGCGGAATCTACGTTTTTCAGGGCTTTTCGTAAAATATCAATATCTCAGCAACGATAAGATTACAACTTTTTGATTTGCGCCTTTGAATAGCATTGCGTGCACAGACGAGAGAGGTAAGGAAAGAGATAGCTACCTATAAAAATCACAGATGGAATGCATTCCTTTCAACAATAAATGAAGCCCATTCACAATCAAATTCGGTTTTCTGGAACTTGCTGGCACGTATATATCGTCCGAAAACTGTGCCAATCTCTTAATTGTACGTAAATGAACGTAACGTTTCGGATAAAAACGACATAGTAGACAGTCTTTATTATCATTACAAAGAACAGTTTCTGCCTCATTCACCTGGTACATCCAACACAGAATACAAATTAATACAAAAAAAAATTAATAATACTAAATTAGTATTATTACCAAGAGTAAGTTACATTAAAAAGTTAAAACCGAAGAAATTCACAGGTGTAGATAATATTTCCAACTTTCTACTCAAGCTTTTGTCGACTAGTTATGTCGAATGTCTTGTTAAGACTTTTAACGAATGGTTAAAAGACGGGATATTTCTGGATGGGTGGAAAGTTACAAAGTTCATCGCCTTAAATAAGTTAAAGTCAGACGTACGTTCCTGCGAAGATACTAGACCAATATCGCTCTTATCGACAGAACTCGAAAATCTATGAAAAAATACTTCTGCACAGAATCAAAGTATGGACCGACGAAAACCACATTTTATCTTCCGAACAATCTGGATTCCGCTCGAATTGTATGATTCTGACCCGGGTATTGGCTGTGTACCAAGTTATTAAAAACAGTTTAAGTGCCAATGTACCGTTTTTAGTAGTATATGAGGATTATAAAAAAGCGTTCGACAAGGTCGTACATGAAATATTTATTATAAAGCTATATAAATTAGGTATGCCTTCAAACCTCCTACGAGCAGTTTTAAATTGGCTTAACGATAGAACGGCTGGGATCATCTTTGGAAATTGCGGCTCGAATTATTTTGTAGTAGGGGTTGGGCTTCCGCAAGGAAGTTCGTTCAGCCAACATTGTTCACCATATTTCACTACGACCTACCTGGCAAACTAGGAGCGCACCCATGCGGTATTTTTGCGGACGATTTACAAGTGGCTATTTCGCCACCAATCCGTCCAAAATTAAACGATATGCTATATTATCTGGAAAAGGAGGGAAATCGTATATGTGCTTCAATCCGTCAACACTCGTTGGACCACGAACAACCTGTCAACTTCAATAAAACTGTCTATCAAATTATTCATAGCCAGGTTCAAAGACCACTAGTACCTCTACGCATGGCAGGCTGTATTCTAGAGCAAGTAAAATTATTCAAGTATCTGAAATTGTGCAGTACAGATAAACTATCCTTCAAGCCGACGATAGATGAGGTTATAATTAAAATTCAAAAGTCATATGGAAAACTACGCGGGTTTTCTGAAGGAGTTTCAGTTTCAGTTAAACTAAAACACATATGTTTCTTTGCGTACTCTTTCCCGTTCTTTGTAGATCTCTTCGCGATATACCCGTTTTTTCCAAACTCTTACAAAGCTTTTGAATCGCAAGTTCCGAGTAGGCATGCGTTTAAGCTATAACCATCCATAGGTTGAAGCGAAAGACCTATTTGAGGTATTCAACGAAAGTAAACTAGAGAATTTCTAGTTTAGTACGTTTCTCTCCAATAAAAAGGTAAGACGACAAAAAAACATGCATGAATCAGTATTACTTGGTTGGATTAATTTTGTTGAAGAGAGAGAGGAATTAAAATCGCAGCTTGTAAGCGTTTTCTAAATCAGATAATTTTTACTTTGTTCACTTTTCTTTCTTTACTCACTATGGTTTTCATGTTTTCGCGTTACGGTTTTTGACTCTGTACTTGTAATGCGTATGGCATTCTGTTTTCTTTTTACTAACTTTGACGACATGTAAGTTAATCTTTGTTTGATAACTTTTTATTATATTGGTAAGCCAACCAAAATTTTCTCGAAATTTTGATTCAGATCGAACAATATGCCATATTGAAAAAAGAATCTCTCGCTAGATTTTAGCAGCTCTGTGTTGTTATAATTAGTATTTTATTTTTAATTCTTGTTTTTTATTGTTGTTTCTCTTTTATATAGACTATAAGTGTATTTTTTTTCGTGTTTAGAACTAGAGTAGCCTGGGGTAATTCCGATCAGTGTCAAAAATCTTTTCAGTATTTTGCTCATAGCTAAGTCATTTTTAACATGGACTCGACTGCTCTAAAACTTGAACAGTAATATTAATCAAAAAAGATGCTGAAGTATGTTCTAACCGATTTCAAAATATATTTGCTATTATGACTGTATCACTGGCCAGTACTTGGAGTATTGTTAGCAATGAGATAAACGCTCGACAACAGTAAACGTACCTTTCCTCTCTCTGTCTATTTATTTCTCTATTTCCCTCTAATTACTATTTCTTCTCTTACTCGAGGGGAATAAGTGTGTGTATGTAACAAATGTTTTGAGTTTTTCTCGCCACAAACTACTCGCTGACTAGTATCCGTACCCAAATATAATGCAGGTCGCCGTTTCTTTAATAACTCGAAGATGATGATAGATAGAGAGTTGCGGTTTTCACTAATGGAAAGAGGACTATTTTCCCAATCTTTTCACAGGCGAAAATCGAGGTCGAAAAAATTTCGAAGATAGGTTTTTCAGCGGATCTTTGGAAAACTTCTTCATATCTCTGGAACCTCACGTAATGATATACCGATTTTTTTCATAGATATATAGCCCAACATGTCTTCTAAATGTTTGGATCTAAGTGAATTCTTACTTTTGCTTGGTTCGGCCTAGAAAGCCGGATTTCCGAGGACACACCTATCTCCTAACCTTAAGGTTTGGGAAACTCAAAAACACATGGGAACATAGGTTATCGACTACGCTGAACATCATGGCGATGTTTATTTCCTTCCGAAAGCAAAATTTGTCTCTCTGTTAGTGTACCAACATCCTTAGAATGTATGTCTACCGCACAAAATCACACTTTTATTCATTCTGACACGTTCTTTGTAACAGAAAACAAGAATAGAAGTAGAAATAGTTATTTATAAACAAAATCAAATCAGGTCAATCACTGTTTGGATCATCATCATCTAACTCATTGTTGTCACTCTCATCGTCACTATCAATAATCTCATTGTCCAGTTCTTCAGCAAGTCTATCTGCAGTTTTGAATATTTCTTCATGTTTTTCCACATGTTTAAAGTAGCCAATTGCATGTTCTGGCCCTAACGATGATAGCCATTCATTACATAGTTGCGAAATGTCATTCAGACTGAAACGACCACTCTGGTTTCGAACATAGTTTTTTAAGCCAGACCAGACTAACTCGATCGGGATCAAAACACAATGCTTTATCGGAATACGAACAATTTGAACGTCAAATTTCTTTGCTGCGCGATCAACAATATATTCACGTGGAGGTAAGTGTTGAAATGCTAATTCGAGTAGCTCGGCTTTCGTCATATACAATTCAAATTTGATTTTTCTTTGAGTTAACCAATCAGCGACTAATGCTTTTTGCCAAGCTCGTTTTGGTGGTTCAGATTCAGGAGTCAATTTATTGTGCCATGTGGCATTATCAATCAAAATAGCTATTGGCGTTGCTTTTCCATGTTCAGCTCGTAGAGTTTTGACGAGAAAAAAGGCTTATACGCGCTTTAGTGTGGAAGAGCTTAGCATTAATCATTGAAAAACGAAGGAAGAATACCCGCCTTTCGGCTACCCTGCGATATAGGGTGCTGTCCGGAGACAGTTTCGTAAGTCAATATCTTCCCTACAACTAATACTAGCTGTAGCTCTGGACAGAAGGCCAGCCTGACTCAGAGTTCTTTCGCTCAATCGCTTGAGCACACTAACTATCGCTTGAGCACACTAACTATCCCCATACACACTAACTAACCACATACTAGTTACGAGGGCTGGTGTATGTCACAACGTAGTCAGCATGCTATCGGACGGGTGATCAAAGGCAAACAACCGTTAATGACTTGCCCAGGGTCATTCAATGTCTGATGGCGCTGAGGCTCGAACACAGTACCATGAGGGTACGTGCCAAACAAGTTAACCACACAGCCATAGCAGCATTAATCATTGAGCTGTTTTCTATTTGAACAGTAACTTTTAAAACTTCGTTCTAGGTTAAAAAAATGTGGAATCTTATTCAGCTCTTAGTGGAATGTTTCACTTGGAATAAATGGCTATGCTTTCTATAAAACTTTCGAATCAGCGAACTCCATGAAAAAACTACTACTAAAGAAAAAGCAAGAAGTTATTACTCCAACCTACAGTGCTACCGTTACAATACTGCAGTTTGGACCACTCCAGTTTGCACTACTATACTTTGGACTAATGAACTTTGCACTACCATCTTGATTTCATCGCAGCCGTTTCATGCAATGTGTGACGAAAGTGCCGATCTGTCTAAAAAACCAGACACTTTCGCCACAACCGAAAACGAACTTTCGTCACATAACGGGTTAACTTTCGTAACCACTATTCGATTACGGTTAACCTTTCTTCATATGCCGCAAGAACCTTTGTCACATGCAGGGTCAATTTTTGCCTCTGGAAAACAGAACTTTGACAGTTAACTCTAACTGTTATAACTGTTTCTGCCATAACTATAAAACTGTAATTGTTGCCTGCTTAATGCTGTTAGATTGGATAATAAAGAAATAGATGTGGTTTTGTCGACAAAAAATAATTATCTTCAAAAAAAGCAACTAACCTTCGCCAGTTCCATAGAAAAGTTAAATATATGTCCTTTACTAGTAACAAGTAATAGATTTTTGTTACTTTACTTGGTGAAGTAACATCGGGTAATAAGTAAAGAGTCATCCCTAGTTAAGACAATATTTTAAGAAATCGTTCTTCACGGTAAAAAACAGTAAATACCGTTTTGAAGATCGGTTTGTACAAAGTTTAGTTCGGTAGATAAAACTTAGGAAATTAAATTTACTACATTTTTGTTTCTAGATTCAACTTTGGAAAACTCTCCCATCATCGTGAAAAGTTGCAAATACCGCCGTTTTGGCTATATTCTTTTTCACAACGAAGGAAGAGTTTCCCAAAGTTGAATCCAGAAACAAAAATGTAGTAAATTTAATTTTGAAAATTTTATCTGCCGAACTCAACTTTGTACAAACCGACCTTCATGGTGAAAAACGGTATTTACTGTTTTTCATCATGAAGAACGATTTCTTAAAATATTGTCCCAACGCTTAAAATTTAGAAAATTAAATTTGTCACATTTATGTTCGAGACACATCTCTCGAAAATGCTTTTTCAAACAGAAAATACGAGAAGCAGAAAAATATTACTGTCTCGCAGGTTCGAATCTGGAAAAGGGTTGTATTTTTCTGCTTTCTTACTATTCGTAATGAAATTGATTTATAAGTTCTTCAAGTGTCCTTGCCGTTTAGAGTTACTGGTTTAAAATTCTGCTAAATGCTCGACTCCTAAAAAGCAATGGATTGAACCTGGCTGATAACCACCTTGCGCTTAATGTATTTGATGAACAAGAACTAGCTTGACCGGTCAGTTAAGTTATCGATTGGAGCTAGATCAAATAGAGCTAGCTCGATCTAGCGGTTAAGTGGGCGATTAACCTAGGTGGTAACTTCCTCCAGCAACCCAAAAGTAGGTTGAACCGCCCGATCCTAGGTTAAACTTTTTGAGGTGGAGCTAGCTTAATCGGGGAGAAAACCGTGTTACTTAGCTTCAACCGCCGGATTCTAGCTCCATTTTTTTTGCTTAGGAGCACGTTAAACAAGATGTTTCATCGTTTTGGAGAGAAAATGAAGCTAAAATATCAATGTTAGATCGCATTGCTCGTTTGTTCCTATCTGTTTCAGACACGAGTGTGCCCAATGAGAGCGGTTTTGATGTTGTTTTTCTGAAGAAAATTGAGAAAAAACAAACAATCCAGTCGTTCTTATACGATAGAAGTAATTTTTGAGATATATTTCGCCGCCTCCTTCCTCAACATAATCAAAATCCAAATGTTCGCTAATTCTCTCCCTCTAAGGTTGATTATTTAATATACGACCGTTCGGGAAATAAGCAATGCTTATGAAAACAAGACAACGTTTCAAAAAAGTTTACCGGAAAAATCAACGGTAATAGTTTTTTTACCGCGATAAAAAATTGGTAACGTTAAATGATTTTGTACCGTATCAAATTTACCGCGGTAGTGAAAAACATTTTTTGCGGTAACGGTAAATGGATTTATCGGTTACCGAACATCCTTAACAGCAACACAGAATGAAATCGTTTACGTTACACTCATTGTCCGTCTCAATATGAAGTCAAATACAGATGAATTTGTTGGTGTTGACGAATAGAGTCTCAGACATCCATATAATTGTTTAACAGTTATTTCTTTTTCTAATAAACATTGATAGAAATCACTAAATTCTTGATAAAATTTACGATCACGAAGAGTTGCGTAAAGTAATCCACGTCCGCCTACAGATGCAGCCAACAATTGAATTATAGCTACGACGATAAATAACAAATACAAAACAAAATTATCAAAGGAGACATGATGACATTTTTCGTAAGTGTGATTTACGAGAAGAGAAACACAAAATTAGAACTGAAATTTCTTTTAAGTGAACTTAAATCTTTTTATTCAAATGCACTTTATGACTGTGGAAACTGAGTAGTCCTTTGTACCAATAATCTTCTCACAAGTGAATCTTCTGTGTGCGATGTGTCATTCTCTGTTTTCAATAATAATGTGTCGGTTGATAGAGAATAGTTATAAAAGGATTCATCCCCATAGCACTTCGTTTAAAAGTAATAATATATCCTTGTTTACTTACATAAGAAAACACAGTAACGCTAAAGCTTTTGTGTCTCAGTAAAAACAGCTAATCAAGAGCCCAAAACTTTTATCATAACGCTGCTTCTCGTCTGCCAATATTACAAAAAATTTCTTTCTCAACTTCAGGGCTGACGTTAATAGATGGGTGAGTGGGGGGTTGCGACACCATCCAAAAATAAAAATAACTCGATTTTTCTCAGCAGAAAAAACTTTTTTTCTTGTATTCTCTGAAAAAAAATCCTTGTTTCAATGAAGCACTTTCCCCATAAAGTCTGACTGGTCGCGACAGACCTGTTCAACTTGTCTACACACTAAGTTATTAAGATTTTTCTATTTTTATCAAGATTTAAGAAATAATTTCTTATATCTCTTTTTTTCTTTTGCTCTTTATTTCTTTTCTTGTCTCAAGTTAGGAAAACAGCATGTGACACAGGCAAGGCAAAACTAACTACACTTTTTTCCAGAACGACTAGGTAAGAGAAAACAAATATATATACATAAGCAATCATTTGTATTCACAAAAGGTACAAGTCAGAACAAAAAAGAATTGCTTCAAAAAACAGTTTTTTCTTAATCAAGAAAATATCTTAGTAACTCAGTGTGTACAGAAGTTCAAAGCCCGAGCATTTTTGTGATACTGGGAGACAAGAAGCAGCGTTATGACAAAAATTTTAGTATTATTGTGTTTCCAGATATAAGCAAACAAGAATAAATTATAACTTTTAAAAGAAGCGCCGATACAATATCGTGGAAAACAGAGGGCCATACTCCGGGTGAAGGTATAGTGTGCATTCCGGGGACACTGGGTGAGAAAATGAAAATACACTTTTTAAAAACGCAAATAGTGTCCAATATACTTTAACATATGGGCTATTTAATGGTAAAAAGATTTTTATTCCAGGCACCATAGATTGCCGGAAAACGCATAGACAAAAACTCAGTTGTTAAGAAAAAAGAAACATTATTATAGAAGTGACGAACTTTTTCTGAAAAATTTAGGCGTACTTTAAAACTACTCATTCCGCTCTATGGATTTCTAAAATAAATTTTTTTGAAAACCTTTCGTCCTCGAAGAAATAATTTTTCTTTCTATGCCAAACTCAGTATAGTCAGCTTCCTATCTTTTCTCAAGCTTCAAATTCGATGAAAGTTTTCTAAAATGTTCTTCTGCATATGCCACACCTACCCTTATAGCTTAAAACTGCCCACATCTATCTGGACTGTTATTGGTTTTTTAAAAACCTTCAGTTTTCCATTTTTCTCGGCACAGGAGCACTTTCATTCAAAAATAAGGCCATATTTGAAATCAGTCAACTAAATTGCAGCGAATAGTGTATGAAATGTGTAATTTTCGAGAAGCAAACTTTTGAACGATATTTTTGGGCAAAAGTGATTTTGGCCGAAAAAACGTCTTTTTCGAAGTTGTTTATTGTAGATTAATATGAATTTTTGGATGGACAGTAGTCATTTTTATGTGAATAGAGAGGACTCTCAACAATAACAATTACATGTCCGCCTGCTCGGTAGAAAGAAAATGCACACTGTGGGAGGTTCTCTGGTCCGTAACAGAGTTTAAACGAGAAAGAAAACCGCGCATTTTTCCTAATGCTACTATAGAAAGTACTAAAGAAATTTTTGTTGTTAGTCATGAAGTTTACACTTCTTTACACCTATTTTAAAAGTTAGGGAACTGAACTCTGGGGCCTTGGTTAATATATCCAGCGCTTCCGTTTTATTGATTTTTTCACGATATAATTTTAGAGAAGTTGAAAACAGATGTCCTCACCCGGCGTCACCGTGCCTTAAAGTTAATTTTGAAGAGGACAAAAAAAATTTCATCGCTCTTTAAATATATACGCCTTAAATTAGCGTCAAATTTCTTGTACAATGGAAGGCACTGTCATGCGGATCATTCTGAAAAAGACTGTCGCTCTACAGATGGCACAGTGCTCTTAACTTCCAGACAGTTTGATGAGAAATTCCACAACTCCTTCAGTTCAAGACAAAAACCTGATATAATAGTTAAGAAAAGAACCTTTTAATTGTTTATCACCATTGAATGCACCACATCCCCAATGTCCAGTTGCTATACCAATACTGGAATCCGGGTCATAATTTTTATTCAAAAATGATTTTCTTTCATTACGATCAGCAATAGAAGAAAATGATGTAGAGGCTTTTATTAATTCACGTTGAATATATTCGAATTGATATTGTATTTTTGGTACTTCAAAACGTAATGCATCCATAGCAACAACATGGCATAAACGACGACCCCAACTATCTCTAAATTTGACAATAAAAAATATTAATAAGTAATTTGTCTTTTGTCAAGATGATTCTTACTTTGGAGTTTCATCAATATAATTTTCACTCCATGCAAATGTTCTACTGTAACCTTTATAGGATGAAAAACGTTCACAACCTAAACGATACAGGAATAGTTGAACGATGGTAAATAGAAATGAAGTGGAAGTATCATACCAATAAGAAATATACATTCTTGTTCGTCCATAACTTCACAAAATAATAGTGAGACCAACATTTCTGGACAGATAACAAATCGAATTTCTTCTTGAACACACCCTTCACCTAACACACCACCACCGATATATTTATTAGCAAAATCAACCTAAAAACATCAGAATAAAAAGGTTCTTCGAACAGAAATATTTCATAACGCAGAAAGGAGTCTATAAAATAAAATCAATATTTTTTGCAATTATTAGTATATTGCACGATTGTATCTGATGGAATCCCGCATAATGCATTACTACTTAAGCGTTGTTTGCTCAAATATTTACAGAAATCAGCTTGATTTTTGCGGTTCGTCTGCAAAGATCAAGTTCGTGTGTTTGATCCTAGCTTTGTACAAAGATTTATTTTGTGTTTTGATAGTTTAAGGATCAGAATTAGGCATGCACCAATACCAATCATCATTGAAGATGTTGTACAATATTATTGGGTCTGAAAACTCAGCAAAATTGCAAAAAAATAATCAATTATCGATTATTTTCCTGCGATTTTGGTGTGTTTTCGATTTATCATATTTTCTCTATATATAATCTTAAAATTTTTCTGGCACTTCAGTTTGGTAGAGCAAACATCTTTCTACAAAATGAAACCTTTTGCATCTCTAAGTGCTTTTTTATGACTAATGCGGAACGACTTTGCTGAATGCCCTAATATCGATTATTAATCGGTTCATGCCTGATTGGGTTATATTTTGATTTAAAACGGGGTAAAGAGCATGCGTCTATACTGTAAAAGTAGGCTGAATCCAAGCGACCCAATAATATTGTATTGGTGCATGCCTGTTCAGAATGATTTAATCGAAATTTATATTCTTGATGGCGTTCTAGTTCAAGATTAAAGCTTAAACCAAAAATTCGGGACTATCAAGATGAAATAATTCCACATACCACAAAACTGAATCACACATTAAGAACCATTCTGCAAAATCATGTTCCAAGCAAAAAATCATCCATGAGAAAAATTCTAGATACAATTCGTTTGTAATCCGACGATGCACGACTAGTTGTCATCTGGATTACTAGTTGGAAGTTACGTCTATGATTTACTAATTGCGGCTGCATGTACAACGAGCAAGAGTTAAATCGATAGTTGCAACTGAGGAGAAATCTAGCAATCGCCCGATGACTAGATTTTTACTGTTGTTAGCAAATAAATGCAATCGAGTAAAAATCCAGATAAATCGGATTAGATAAATCGGGCGATACTAGATTGTTTTGATTCTATAAAAGAAATGTTTTTTTCTCAAAACAAGGAAAAATCTATGCTAGTCTGAAGGTGTTGGATTTTGTTCCCGAGTCGGGAATCCCGACAATAACCAATGGGAAGAAATTTCTCTTTTTAGTGTTGGTGTCGACTACTCAAGGAGGAAAAAGCACCACTTCGCCACTTCACTTCTACCCAAGTAAATTTGTGACATTGTTAGTTCATTGAGTTTTTCCGATTTTTTATGTCTGATAAATCTATTTATTTCACCGCTCTCAGTTTTATTTACTACATGCATGTACGGTGGATTGACCTTAATTAATCCTTAGCGCTTAAACTTTGCTTGTCTCCAGATTAAACAAAAATACATTGGCTAACATCTCTCTAATTTATTTACTAAGCTCTATGTTCTTCATCTCCACTTCACTAGTTCACTTCATGAACTTCAAAATTACTTCGAGTTCACCTCAAGTGAGGTGAAAGTGAGGTAATGCTTTTTTCCTCCTGGAACTAACGTTCATGTGTTTTTGAAATCGAAACGAAAGTCTATACAAAAAAATTGTCAATTTTATTTCATATTTTCGTTGGGAAATGAACAATTTGATAGCAATGTCTTTCTCATCATAAAAAAGTCTCACTTGAAGGAACCCATGCAGATCTTCGATTGTTTTATTATTTATTAATTTTACTTGACATAATTTATGATTTGATTCATTCCACTTTGGCAGACGATTGCTAGATAAATAACTACGACGAAACGTTAAAACACCATTTGGTTCTATTGAAAACATTTTCAACAAAAAATTTAGCATTACACACTTATGAATCGTCTGCAATGGTTCACTTACTATGTTCTGATATTCGTTTAAAGTAATGTAAAATACATTTTAATTTTTGTACTTTCACTGATAATGATCCAGGTCGACCATCATCATAATAAAGTCTAAAGAAGCAAAAAAGAACATTAATTACTTTATTACAATCTCAATGAAAGTCTCATTTCAGCTTTGTTCTACTTAAAAGTCCAGTTCGAATATAGTAAATTTCTGCAGAAGCGAAAGAACGTGCTGGAAAACATAGACGAGTTTGATATTAAAACAAGATTGTTAGAACTGACAAGACGGTGTAATACTTCGAGTGACAAATTGTAGTAAAAGAAATGGAATGAGTTGAATTTGTCAGCATGCATAGCAAACCTTGTGTGCATGTTACTTGGATCCGGCAAAAGATTCTGTCTTTTTGTATATCTGATGGAACATTACTGCTTATTCGGCAGAAAATTATTGTGGTACGAAGTTTTTCTATTTGCTGTACTTATCACTAGTGAGACTAGAATGCACCAATCCGATAGTTCGGTGACCGAACAGTTCGCTACCAAGTTGGTGCTAGGCCAGTAAAAACACAAAATTTGACTTACCTATAAAAATTCGGATTTTGGTAAGATGCATATTTACTGTGTCGATTTTGTTGTTTTGGAAATAAACAGAAAAAGGCACATGCTAGTAACGATGCACATTGATATTGTGACATTGTTACAGTTTTATTTGATTTTTGACGTAATAATGGTGGTGGCTATAATGGAACAATACATTTTCCTGTCATTCTGATGAACAGAACAACAGATAACCTACTTGTCCACATATCTGTTCAACTCGTAATGCTAGTGATATTATAAATGGTAAAACATAAGAAATAAAATCCGAACGCTCTTTGGATGTATATTCCTACAGAAGGAGAAAGAAATTTCCGAAGTTTATATCAACTCCGGTGCGAGTGATACTCCTACACAAAGTTATACCTTCCGTAATAGTTCATCTAGACATTGGAATGTCCGTTGAGGACGACCTGTACATGCGTGAATTGTCCGCTAAATGCAAACAAATGGTAACAAATGAATTAACTGTAAAGGACCCCGCCGGTTACGAAAAGTTGTTCCGTTTGATCTCGCATTTTAGGATTTTGTAAAGTAATGAAAGACAAATTTTTCTATATTGTCAAAAAAAATTTTCAAACTCCTTCACAAAAACGTGTGATGAAAACTTTTTCTTGTCATTTCCTAACAGCCAAAGTTATGATTGTTTAAACTTCTTCTAGAAATGTTATCTTGGAAAGATATATTATCAAATTTAACATTATTATCTAAAATTCGTTTTGATTTTTTTTTCAATGTTCTTTGAATATTGAATTAAATGATATTATTTTATCATATCAAACATCATTTTATTATAATA